TTTTCCACTCTCACTTAGACGAACTTTGTCAAATAAAAACATTTATATTATGATTACATTCTCATAATATATAATATAGGTTATCATGGATAAGTTGATACGCTGTTCAACACGTCGCTAGAAAGTGCTGTGTTTAAATTTCAGTATCACCAGCCACAAAAATGACCCTGAACAAGTCACTAACGACTGTTTGTTTCATGTCCCCCGTCCGATAGCATGCCGACTACGTTATAACGTACATCTGCTTTTGTAGCGAGTTCCTGTGTATGGAAAACGTAAGAACTTTGCATCAAGTTGGTCTTCTGTTCAAAGCTTCAGTCAGTATTAGTTGTAAGGAAGACATTGGACTATTGAATGTGCCATAAGGCAGCATTCTATACTACATGATAGCCGGAAGGCAGGAGTATTTTTCTTTCATTAAAATATAAAGTTAGCCTAACTTTCATCAACTTTAGAAATTCGATTATTTATTCGATATGTGCTTGGGATCTTCTTGCAGTTTCTACAATGTTGCATTGTATTCAAAACCTTTTCCAAGCTGTAAGCAAAACATCACACTTGTAAATACCATTAATTGATTCTGCATCCAGCTTTTTTCTATAACAGACGATGCGATCGAAAAACCTGAAATTCATACGCGATTTGAAATATTGCCTTTTATAGAATGCTTAATGCTTGGTACGACCTTCTCTTTTTCCCCACACAAACTCCAAGCCAACCAATCTTTTGACAGAATTCTGGCCGATGATGGTCTTATGTGAAAAGATCATTTGATTATAGTTCATAGTCTCAAGATCTGGCTCTCATTTTAAATCAATTGTCTTAACGAGCTTCTGCGAACAAATGCTTTGATATCGGTCGATTATATTTCACATCATGTTCTCAATAAACACGACTTGTTTTTGCTTCAAGTGATTTACAGTCTCGTCTAATGACAAACATCTGTTGCTCGAGGAGTCAAGCAATTTGTTGATCCTATTCTACGATTCTTGCTCATAGTTGGCCTAATTACATTGAATGAACCAATTCTCCGTCGTTGTCATATCACAGTACAGTGCTTTTGCATCAGACACATCAGCTTTTCGGTCAAAAAATGCTAAATAGATTAATAACAAAATGTCAAAGAAATGAACAATAATTTTGATGAGAAGATGATTATTGCTGCTTATTTCTCTTAATCTTACGGAAAGTTCTATTGCGGAAGAGGCGGGATCTTCTATACATTGCTGTACATCAGAAATAAAACATAAAATAAATTGTTTTTATTTTATTTATTATAGTTATGCCGGTTACTCTATGATTGAGAATGAATATTTTAATAATGGTATTAAAGTATTAGAACGTGAACGTCGACGATCTCTTTTAAAATTTCGACAAAAAGTTGATCTTACCGAGTAAGATATTTTATTTCATAAAATTAAAAAAGAAAAATAATATATATATTTTTTATCGCACTTTTTAAAGTTGGAGTATGACGCCACGAACAGTAAATGCTTATTATACACCATCTGCTAATGAAATTGTTTTTCCAGCGGGTATTCTTCAACCACCATTTTTTCATAAAGATTTACCAATATCAGTTAATTATGGAGCGATTGGAACAGTAAGATTTTAATTAATAATCATAATCAAATGTTTTACGTTTGTTTTGTTTTCAAATTAGGTTATTGGTCATGAAATAACTCATGGTTTTGATGATCAAGGTCGAGAATATGATTCTGATGGAAATATGCGTTCTTGGTGGACAAAATTAGCAATGGATAAATTCGAAGAAAGAACTAAATGTTTTGTTCAACAATATTCAGGTTATATACTTGATGGACAAAATGAAAATGGACAAAGAACATTAAGTAATTTAAATTTTATTCTTTCATAATAATCAAACTTTCATTAAGAAGTCATTTTCATTTCATCGATTAGCATACTTGTTAACTGTCAAAATAGGTTTTCAATCTGAAATATATCATCTTTATCATGTTGACAAATGTGTTTAGTCCAATGTGACTGTCGCCACTAGAGATGTGCAAGAGCAACCTTTGTCTCAATTACTGAGACTTGAATTTGAAGGTTTGCCGTCATCGAGACCCATTTAGATTCACCGAGACCATAGTAGAAACAAACAGAAATACTGTTAGAATAATTCCTGCTCATGTTTATTGATATTTTATAGCGGTAAGGGTGGGTGATAGTCTAAAAATTTAGTAGAAACTGCTATCATCTTTAAATTGGTAGAACTAATGACTCGGAGTGAAAGAACGAAACCCAGTGTGATTCGTCTTTCTCTCTATGAGATCTGTCACAATTCTATTCGCTTCACAACCACATGGTCTGCTTGTTTTTATTTCACTGGCTGCCAGAAAAAAACAAATAATGTTTCAAGATACAGTTTACTTTTAAATTCACCATAAACCTGTAAAAACATGACCAACAGTTGGACATAATAGGAAGAAATTTCCCAAATACTCGTAATCTAGAGTTCTTCTACTGCTGGATTCACATGTGAAATACGATATAGCGGCTGTTACCAAACCTAGGAGTATTGTTTTATTAGATCTGTATTGGAATACATATTTTTGCCATTGCTTTTCGTAACCACTCAGAAACGAAATAAGGAAGTCTAACGAGACGCTATCGATATGCCGTCTTTTGATCGTATATTAACAAACTCGGTCATGTATGTGAGAAGTTCCAAATTTCCATTTCTATACTTTAATACTCCTTTTAGATCGTGTTCCAAACAAGAAGTTACCGAACTGGGAGACCAAAAAAAAACCGTGGTCTCAGATGTCTCTAGTCATCACTCATGGTAATCACGCAGAGTCATGAATATTTAAGTTAATACATATTTTGAATTGCTATAGATGTATCAAATGTTTCGTAAGACTAATAATCTCATTTTGTTTGTATATCTTCAGTATTTGTAGTGAGTTTTGTAAGTAATAAGTAACATACATAGATCGCAAATCGCATAATGTTTTATTTTTCGAATAAGAATAACACTACAATGAAGTTAAATGTTAGATCTTTCTCGTTTTATTTCGAAAGTATAACGGAAGTATTGTTATTCGAAATTAATTCTAATATATTTTTCTTTAATAATATCCTTTGAATTATCCACTTGATTAGACAGATCTTATTATTTAATATTATAATGACTTTGCTTTTTCCTATTCATGCCAACACATTCTGCTCACTACAACTCATAAACTCGATATATTTGATTTTCGACAAGAATCTCTATAGTTTACGAAAATAAATCATGATGAAATCAAAATGAATTTTTCATTACTAACAGTCACATGATTTGTTACTGTGATTAAAGAATTTGATAACATCAGGCTCTATTCTGAACTTTTATGATAAACAGTACATAAGATCATTTCTCGAAAATGAAAATTGCTCAACAAATGATTGTTGAGTAAATGTTTTTGTTGAAATTTAAAAAACAGAAAAATTAAAGAACCATTTCTCTATTATCAAAATATGATATTATCCTATGAAAGAATGAATACAAAAAACTGTTAATATTTAATATTTCTTTTAGACATGTAAGATGAACAATTAGTGTAAGAAAATTATTAATTGCTCATTAATTGCTAAACTTTGAATTTTTCTTAAATTTAATTTTCATGATTATTTTATCCTTATTTGTTTTCTTCAAGGTGAAAATATAGCTGATAATGGTGGTCTAAAATTATCTTTTCTGGCTTATCAAAAACATAAACAACGTACACTAACTAGTGGTAATAATCTTCGTTTACCTGGCTTGCCATATAACAATGATCAATTATTTTATATTGCTTTTGCTCATGTATGAATATAATGATAGCTTTTTATTTTTATTTGTTAATTAATTAATTGAGTTTTTCTTTTTATAGAGTTGGTGTAATCTTGAAACTTCAAATGCAATGCATTATGATTTAATTAATGATCCGCATTCACCAGCACGTTCTCGTATAATTGGTACAATCGCAAACAGTCTTGAATTTGCTCAAGTATTTTCATGTCAGTCAAAGACAAATATGAATCCGAGTAATAAATGTCATTTGTGGTAGTCTTTCGAGTTTATTTAAAAATTTTAAAAAAACCAGTCAAAAGAAAAAAGAAACATTTTTGTTTTGAATGAAGTGGAATGTTATATCATGTACAAGTCAATTTTAAATGATTTTATTGTATCGTAGAGTATCATTGTTTTATGTTGTCAACAAAAAAAAGAAGTCATTTTTTTTTCTTTTTTGCATTTTAAATGTTATATATATATATATATTTTAATTTTCTTTTATTTATCAATGTAAATATATATATATATTTTATTCGTATCTATAATAAAAATGGTTTTCTGTAAATGAAAATGATAAGAACTCATCGATAAAAATACTCAGAATTATATTTGATATAAATTAGGATTAAACAAAAACATGATAATTACTAAAGAAAAATACAAAAATAAACATTTTGTTTTTTTTGCAATGATAAGAGCTAGATAGAATATAGATTAGTTGAACTTGTTAAAATGATCTTGAGTCACCCTTTCAAACTAATTCTCTCTGCATAAATTTTGAAAATGTATCGTATAACTAATTAACTATATATGATTGGTACTTCGTGTTGTTTTATTGATGAGAATGGTTTCTTTTCAGATCATGTCGAATAACAAGAAGAAAAATTCTAGAAGTTATTGAACCTCAATTGTGTCGGAAAATGTAATCATGCTATATGATGCATTATTTTGTTTTTGTTTATGTAGATTCTATAGCGTATTGCCGACGATTGATGATATTCATCTGTCTGCAGTCAGTAATACAAGCAGAAAATTATGTAAATGAGAAAAGAAAATTTGCAGCTGTTGGATTGTTTTTCTTCTATTATTCTGT